ACGCCACATGACGTCAATTAACATCACGTGACCCATACACCAAATCAGTTTCCCCGCTAAATATGGGGGGGAATTAAGTGTTACGTGACTTCCTCACGAGACCCATACTCCAATTCAGTCCTCACTAAATTTGATGGGGAAAGTGATGTCACGTGACCCACACACTAATGTAGTTTCCCCACTAAATTTAGCAGCAAAATTATACTAGACTATATTTTTCTCTAAACAAATTAAAACTATCACTTTTTGAATACTGCAGTTTATGCATTACAGGGCTTTGGAAATAAAGGTCGCTGTCAATTTTTTGGTGTTAAATTTTATTTGTAAATTTGGAGGTTGCCAGAGTTTACTTCTATTCCAAAATCTCTGAAATCTTGCATTCGTCATAGTTCAACTATTTCCCAATATTTCTACCTCACCAAATGCACTAAAAACACGCCGAGCCATTTTAAATATATCAGACAAGTTGGCCCGCAATCTGCACGATCGTGGCCTGCACTGTTAGAAAAACATTGGCTCGTCCTCCCTGCTAATTGCCAAAACGACACTGCCCAAACTCAAAATCGGAATGACGGCTAGCACAATTGCACGAAATGATCGAATTTTCCCCGCACGCAAGAAACACTGCAGCACTGACCCGACGTCCCAAGCAAACGTTGCCTACCAGGTATTCTACTAGAACTAAGCAAAATTCCTTCGACCCTTTTCTTCTTCTCAAGATATTTTGAACGCGAGCTTCATGGAAACTTAAGGATCGACACAAACTTTTACCGAACTGCTTCATCACTATCTCCACAGCGTGCCCTTGGTGGGCGCGCCAACGACGCAAGTGACCCAACTTTTTTAGTTCCGTCAAAAAAACGCAAAACCCTAGCTATAAGAGACAAAGTGTTCGCCGAAGAAATGGTTATTTTGAGTTGGTTTAGCAATGTGTCAAAGATCAAAGCGTCAGTTCCAAACCTCCCCCTTCTATCTGTGGACTGTGCCATACCGAGTCAACTTCGCAAACGGCGAAAGCTACGGTTCAGTGAGCCAATCGGCGCGCCGGAGAGAGACGCACGACTACACGCAGTGCTGTCAAAGCCACCGGCGGGAAAAAGAGGAAAGCCGTTTTTGTACATATTTTGAGCGACGGGCTAATCTCCGACGGGGTCAAAAGCGACGTCTGGGATGCAGAGAAGATTGACCAGGTGAAAGGGGAGTTCTTCCTTCCCCTCTTTTCCTACTGCTTGGGTGACGCTCCCGCTCCCGCACCTTTGGTAAGTGTCGTCACGTGCTTCGCCATTGTCGCTTTCATTAGCTCGAGGGGTGAAAGTTACGGAAGTTACGGTGAAACAAAGTTTAGACCTGTACGCAGGATGTAAAAAATTATCATCTTTTCGAATAAACAAAAACCGCTTATTTTTTTGGTTAGTGAAAAAGGTGTCTCCTTTTTCTTTTGCGTTCCGATTTGCTATCAATAGGACATTACTTTTCTTGTTTTGGTTTCTTCCTCGTTTTGATTTGCTTGCAGTAGGACATCACGTAAGTGACAAACAAAGTGCAACGTAGAAAAAAAAGCTAAACACTCTGATTTGCCCAGATGAGCTGTTCAACCTGTTACGATTCTCTCTTGCAAGTGCAGATAGAAAGTAGCAAATGATAGACAAACAGTAAATAAAAAGTATTTTGGGGATTATTTCCGCAGAAAAGGCTCGATTTAAATCATTATAGTAAAACTGGTGTAATTTAAATTGCAATTTAAATCACCTCGATTATTATTTTCTACCCTGGCCTCTAGACAAGGCCAAATTGCACATCACAAAAGTATACATTCCTAAAATAATGAGTAACACATAGACCAAGCAATGATTCGACTTGACAAAAAACTTCCAGGCCAGACTTTTTTTCTTTTTACAACTTCCCTTTCAAACTATTTTATACATCGCATCTCCTCATACCCCATATATCCACACACCAAAAATAATCTGGTACCACAAAGAAGTCGAGTCTCTTAGTGAAATGCTGGCTGCAGTAAAGAGGTTCCCAGGCAGTTTCCTTTTTCTTAATTCTTCCCGCCAGCACCTGTTCACAGACGCACTACTGAGCACAGTAACGTAATGTACAGGCGTTCATCACCGACCCAGATGTCATCAACTTGGCGGTAAGAGAGATGAGCAACAGCACCAGAGACTGCTCAATTGACATGTATAACAAATCTAATCAGAACTAGGAGGCCAGAAAAAGCTGCCATCTCCAAGATGCAAACGCACGTTTTCGTGCGTTTGCGGTACAATGCGCGCCGGATTACGGTCGTAAATAGTACAAGAGGCAACAAGAAAGTCTCGAGACATGATCGACAAGAAAGGCCAGGTGTTGCGCAGCGAGCGCGGTCACGACGGCGACAAAAACGGTCTCCCTTCAATTTGACATCTGCTAGAAAGGTTAGAGACGGTTGTGGCATTTTACATTTCGAGAGCCGAGCTGACTGCTGTTCCCTTCTGAAATGCTATATGCAAATGACCACTAAAACATCTAAAAAAAAAAGAAAAAGAAAAAAAAAAGAGAAAAAGAAATGCATGCATCTTGAGTGCCTTTTGGCTCAGGCTCAAATTTTCAGATACGATCCACTCGGCACATATTCAGTAATTTCTCTCTCATGCATATGTCTCGTTATGGAGCCAGACTCAATATATAATTTCCTACTTTTCCACAGTCTGGGATTTTCTAGATGTCTTGTATCAAACAAAGTAATAAATGTTTTATGAAGTTAAGAAAATAAACAATTTTCTCTTCAATTTGCTTCAGAAAGTGGAGTTGATCAGTGATGCTTAATTCTGACCTACTTTGTCTCTGGCCAGCTTCTTTCAGACGAAAACATGGATACAACATTAACTTTGACGGAAATCGTAGTAACCTTCGTTAGTGGCGTCATACAGCGACAACATCATTATACCGCAATTCAGAACAGCTTAGTAGAACACCATTCAAACGCAGCTTGTTCCAGAGCTTTTTGCCAAAAGCAGGTTTACGCCAGGGCACAAAAGTAGGCATATCTGACCGACAAAATGCAAACAATCATTTTGTTTTAACAAAAATCTCCTTCCACGCAAATTTACAAACCTGATGACTTCGTAAAGAGCTGTTTAGGCTGGCTCGCACATTCGCATCCTAGTGTTAAGGAGTGTGATGTGAGTGGCTCCATCTACCGTGTAGTGCTGGAACTGTCCTGATTTACACATTAAAAGACTAAAGGTATTCCAGTATTTGAGAGATAGAATCTACGCACTAACCATGACAAATGGTTACTCATAACACTTCGAGAAGCATTCCAAGCTTACAGTGAAAAAAAGTGGAAGCCGTTTACAACTTCCTGTAACGCCGAATTGGAGCGCAGCTCTTGAGGAGGAGGAGTGGAGGGTATATTCCTACTCCTCCCTCGTGATCATGCCTGCTAGTCCTCCTCCCCTCCTGCTCCCCCTCCTCTCCTTTACCACCTTTACCGGGCGGGGGAGGAGGGGGGAGGAGGAGGAGGAGGAGGGGGAGGGGCGACGCCGACGCCGACGCCGCACAGGCGGGAAACGGGTCATGTGACCCCCTCCCCCCGAGGTCACGTGACCCGCCCGGACCATACTACACAATGAGGCGAGGAGGAGGAGAAGGAGGGGGAGGAGGAGGACGGAAGGATGAGGGGGAGGGGGAGGAGGAGAGGGAGGGGCGCGGTTACGCCGACGCCGACGGCGACGCCGCTCAGGCTGGAAACGGGCCCCTAAGAGCTGCGCTCTAAAATGATGCATAAAAATATTTGGAATCGTACGCGGGTCTGCGGTGTTCCAAAGCTTCCCGACAGGCGGCGCCAGTGTTCACTCGTCACAAGCAGTCACAAGAGCTCGCAACGCACTCCATCACAATCAAACACAAATGTGTGAACTAGCCTTTACCAAACGTTTAACCTGTTACCCCCCTAGGCTCTTTCTTTTGTTCAGACTGACCTTCAGAAGAGCAAGCACATGCGTCAGATAAAGCCAACAAGCTTTTGCTTGGTCTCCAAGAAGCCAAATATGTTTAATGTGTGCTCTTTCAAGCATAGGACAACTTCGTGAGCGGTGAAAACTTTGATGCATTCTGCATGGAAGACCGTTCTTTCGAGGTTGTATAAAGAGCTAAAGAAACGAGGCCGTAGTAACAAAGCGGGAGAATCACTACGGGCTGAGGCGAAAGCACAAACGCGTACAAGCATACCGTGAAGTAGGGCTCGGCAACGTAAAAATAAGCGAAACAAGCCCGAACACGCAGCTGTAATACAAACGTTCGTCTCGCAACAACAACCGCTCCACGTCAAGAGATTTCTTTCTTTTTTTCCCTTCACAGTTGTTCGTCGGATACCGAAGTCCACGCAGCTAAAACTGGACTGTCAACACTAAACAAAGAAAACAACAACGCGGCAATCCACCTAAAACAACCGCAGATTACAGGAAACGAGAAATACCTAATCCCACACCGCCGGATAACAACACGTAGCAACGAGCAAGCAGTTACTGAACGATTGCCACATATCGCTACCGCTACGCGATTACAGATAGCGGTTTTGAACGGGAAATAAAAACAGATAGCTGAGGGATATATTGCTGTCGAATCCAGTAACGAGGGCTTCTCAGAAGCCTGCACTACGATATACAAAGCGAAGTATTTAGAGGTATCGGTTGTTTCTTTTCGGGTGGATCGCCAAAGCGAGCCCTACCACACAGCGCGGTTTATTTTGTTTGTTTTTATGTTCGTGCGAGGACAGCTAGCGCTCCGGCAAAAAGACGATAAATAGATTGAAATAAAAAAAAAAGGAGACATGAAAAGCGGCAGTGTTCAGTAGCATCCGGTGGAAGCTTAACCAGCGCGCGAGCACGCAAGAAAGAAAAAAACCCGACAATGCCCGTCCTTCCACTCAACTCCGCCCTGTTTGCCGTACTCGCAGCAGCGGCTTCCCCCAAGCCGAAATCTGAACCGACGAAGGGTATGGTACTTGCCTCTTTCTCTTTGAGGCCCAGTAAAAGCACCTCTTCCATCAGGGTGAGCCGTGTTTCTTTCGAATCGACGTCATCCTCGCTTTCCTGCCGAGGTGCCGAGTCGTCCACGTCCTTCGACTTGGCATCGGGGTTCGAACTGGCGTTCTTGCGCTGGACGAGCCCTTCTTTTCGAAGCATCCTCGCCGCAGGACCCCCCGGTTGCGCGTCGCGGGACTCGAATGGGAGGTTCAGAAGCGACGCCGGGGTTGTTCTACGAGCACGGTCGAGTCTGCCGACGGAATCCCCACGGATACATAGCCCTTAGCACCGCGGTCGAGAGAAAAGTCTACCATAAAAATTCGGGACGCAAAAAAAATATGGAGGCCGCTCGTGATGACGTCAAAATCGGGCCACGTCCGCCTGGTGGTTAAAAAAGTCAGAAACACGTTTGCGCGAATAAACATTGTAACTTAAAATATACGTAGAAATATTCCATATTGCCAGAAAACGCCTTCAAGTTTACTTATTTGTGTTCTGATTTTAGTCGGTTTCAAAAATAAATTCGGCGTATTGCGAGTGGTGTGGTTGGTGTGGTCACGTGATTATGCGCGAGCACCGGAGTGATGTTTACGTTTGTGTTTACACGTTTACAGCGTTTACCCATTTACAGTACCATAACAGTGCACGTTGCTATCACATAAACGTTTATGCCATGCTTACACCGTTTACACCGTTTACACCATCTACCGCCGGACACCTGAGTTCAGCGTTTAACCGTTAGCCAGTTTGGCGAACGGTGGTTTAGCGCTGGCCGTTCTCTGTTCAGGCCGTTCAGTCGTATCAACGCGGCTAGGTTGCTTCCCGTTTTTTGTTTTCGCTGTACGCGTTATTCGCATTAAGTGCAACATGGAGAAAGGGCAACAATTCTCGAGTTTTGCGGAGCTGGCCACGGCGATAGCAGAGTTCCAAGACGCCAACTTCGTCCAATTTTGGATCAACTCCAGCAGAACGATTGCCGGTACGGGTACACGTCAATAGGAAACACCACGCTAAGCTTTTGCACGGCAAATCAAATGGTGCACTGTTTGACTTCAGGGGCGAGGAAGAAAGGAGTAAAGCGTCACATCAACGAGGAACTGGTCTACACCGAAATCACCTATTCCTGTACGCACGGAGGGCGGAAGTACAAGTCGCAATCCACGGGAGCTCGACCCAACCAGAGGTAATTGGCACCGCGGTCAAAAAAAGGTGTGGCAAATGACAGTGTCGTCTACTGAAGGCGTCAAGCATAAATTCCACCCCAACATGCATGTGAATGCTGTGTGTAGCCCCCTAAACATCCCGCTCCCACGAGTAAAAAAAAACACAACAGACATTTTATGTCAGTCTGTCTGTTCCCAAACCAGATTTAAAAAACAAACACACACACACATTGTTTCAAAACACAGCTGCTGATTTTATTTCACGTCCTCGCATTTATACATTGTCCACCCTCCCCAAAAGGTTATTAACCTCTTCCCAACAAATTAACAAGAAACACGAGAAACAGCCTTTACTGTCACAGGATGACCCCAAACCACAAGCATGCCCAACAAAGGAATGGACCCTCACTACACTTAAGGTCTATTTACATGATGCATCTTGTTGGCGAATCTTGTGTCGCAAAACTAGGTTTCGGGAAACAGATTCCCCGTGGGAATGCAACCGAAAAAGTGGCGCACCTCCGAAAAAAGGGGCGTGTGTTCCTCGCTTCTGGAGCAATTGTTTGCTGAAACCTCATTGAGGCCTGTCAATCACCTGAAGGGGAAACGCAGACGCTGCCAATGGCTGCTCAACTTCGCTATGACGTCTAACCTTCGAGGCGGAGCGGGCTTTTGGAGGTGTCTGATGTTTGGCCGATTCCGTATGTGAGCCAAAGCCGAAAAACGAAAAGCAAACATAGTGACAAAAAACGGTGCATACGGACAATGTGTCTTGGTCCTACTCAGTTGCAAGTGTGTAAATGGCGCTTTAGCAGTACGGGTTGGTTGTGCAGGGTGTAGGCCCGTTTGTCATGTGCGCATTTGTCATAGGCCAACTGGCAATAGGCCCGTTCGTCACAGCGGATCATTCGTCGTAGGGGAATTTGTCACTAGAAAAGTTTGTCACTGTGCGAACCGGATATCCGAATTTGCCCAACTTATGTTCATTTGGCTTTGCAATGCAATAAAGATTAGTACGTTATATTTCATTTTTACTGAAGAGAGGGAACATCCAAACAAGTCATCGTTGGACTTAGAAAACAACAGGTTTATTGAGCGAAATAAAAACAAATTAAAAAGCAATATTCCGAGCTGCCGCCCTCAAGGTTTCAAGACGATTGTGACCATCGTAGCGGCTCACAATGATCTGAAGACGCCGGTTGCAGTCGGCGTGCTTCTTGGACACCCTCGAAGATGTCGTGCCACCCTCTACTTGAGCCAGCTTTATCTCTGTCCAGGACTGCTCTCTCTCTTGATGCAGCCCAGGAACGCCCAGATATTGGGAGAACTGCAGCCCATGTTGCTCAGTTATAAAAGAAAAACAAACACACACTCTTGGAGAAAGCTTTTTGAGTGGGCACCATACTGAAATTTTGAGCCACAAATGCAAACATGTGCTACAGAAAACTTCCAAGTTCTCAGAGGATTAGGTCAGTTCTTACCTGCAGTCCCCGGTGCCACGCTTCGATGCTGCTTGGCATTTCTGCTAGTGTTGATTCCCTGATTGACCAAATTAGAGGAGGGAAGGCGGCCGACGACAAGCCGTTTCGACGGGGGTCTCCCGATATACACGTCCTCGAAGTAGTCCGCCACGAGTGAGGCATCGGTGTGGAAAACCTAGAGAAGGTCCTGGAAGGCCTCGGGAATGTCGGCGATTGGCAAGAAGGCCAATGCTGAAAGCACTCTCATCTCAGAAACCCACAAGAAATAAAGTAACCAATTGGCTTAACTGAAGACAACGATAAGATATATAAATAGAATGCCGCGTACCAGAACAGCAAACTCTTCATCTGAAGTGTAGCGACTCTGGTGACAACTGGAGCACACCTTCCTGTACAGCGACTGGGATATGTGAAAAAAGCATCCCTGTATCCTAGCCTCGGGAATCGTGGCTTGTATCACGCTGATGGCTGCTATCCCCCATGTGACTCAGCACGACGTCGAAAAATCTTATAAAGAGCGAACATATCTTGAAGTGTTTGAACACATATCGAATAATAGGGCCACCGAGTGTTTTGTTTTATGTTTATCAGAGCTCTTGAATGCTTACCTTCTGTAGGTAGCTTCAGATTCGTTGGGCAGCAAGCCGTAAACCATGCGGGGGCCATTGGTTTCCCTCCCCCTAGAAGGCGTAAGCCGCGGGCGTATCGTGTCGGGGAGAGAGCGCCACCATGCTGGCTTACCCTCTCGCACTTTTCTGCGTGTCTCCCCGATTTCGGGGGAACAGCGAGATCGCGCGGGAGAGAGTCGGGCCTGCCCTCCGAGTGGACGGCTGTGTGGTCGAGGAGTCCTCCATTAGACTCCGAGCGACGGGTCGAGTCGCGGCGCGAGCTCATCCGACCGGCGATGACTCAACGCTAGCGTTTCCCCTGGCTCTGACAGTGGGCGTCCCCTCCTCCTAATGGACGTCCTTCTGCCGAGAGCCCTGGCCCTGAACTCCTGCGACGACGGGTAGCGGCGTGAGCTCGGCCCACCGGCGATGACTCTGCTCGCAATTACCCCTTTGGCTCTCAGGTCGGTGGGCGATGCGGGCACACTGTATCCGCGGCTCGCTCGACCGCAGTGCCTTGTTGGGGACCCCTGGTACTCAATAAACGCTGTTAGATACCGGGATCATTGTTGGCATGGCGTTGGCCGAACCCGGCGTGGCGACCGCCCTCGCTGGTAGTAGCCGTTGGCTGCGTGGTGGGACAGGCATCGGATTCCCCTTTGAGCACCGGTCCCCAGACGTAAATATATGTGGTCCTTTATTCCCACAACCATTGGCGCTACCACACCATTGACTGTGGTATGCACCGTGTGCAGTTGGTCAAACTATGCCAGGGTGAGTTTAAAGGGGTCATGAAACGCTTTTCCAACTTTTTCCTGTTTAGCTTTCCTCCTCAACTCATAAATCGCGCATTCCACCATACAGTTAAAGAAGACGAAAGGGGGGAGTCCCTTCTTGCTCGCACTCTCTCGTTTGTGTAATCCGGACACAGCCATTGTCCCCCTTGAAGATTAGCCCGTCGCTCAAAATTCAGACAAAAGTTGCTTTCCCCAACCCGTTCACCCCGGAGCGGACATTGCTGTGGAAGCTACGTGCTCGTTGGGCCAGTCACACTTGCCACGTGAGCGTGGCAAATGTGGCTGCAGGGAATGGAGTCAGGTGATGAAAGGGAGGCGGCTGATTGGTCTGGCAAGCGCGTAGCTTCCACCACAATGTCAGCTTAGGGGTGAAGGGAATAAGTGAGGTCCGGTTGCGTGTGACGTCAGTTTGGACCCGATGACGCGCTTTTGGGACCGCGGATGTATCACGGTGAAAAGGCAGAGAGGTTGCGAAGGGGAGGAGGTACGAAATAGTCCGCTCTGTTTTCAAATTTTCGCACTGAAAGTCAGGCTTTTGACTTTCTACCTTTCTTTTTTTGGTCCACTGAACGAAGTGCTATTAGTAAAATCTCAATCTAAAATGATTTATCCCAACCCAAAAATCGTTTCATGGGCCCTTTAAAGGTCCCGTCCGCAGACCATGTAGTCGCCTGAGCCAGATAGCTCAAGTTGCGCTCGGTAGCAAAGATCATGATTTTTTCGCTGTCGCCCTCTCCGCTGTCGTTTAGGAGAAAGGAATCTCCTTTGGCTGTTGTCTACATGCAGGTAAAACAGTCATTATCATCATACGTTGCGCACTGTGATTTTGCGCTGCAATACACTTTACCTTGAACACTGTAAGCATTGTAATGTCGGATCTACAAGGTGGTACGCTGTACTCGAAATTCGCCCGCTGCTTTGCTTGCAGATTGTGCGCTGAAGTGTTGACGATGCGGGAACCTGCGATGCAATGTCGTCACTGACACAGGCAGCTGCATCCAGAAGTATTTGGTGCAGTGCTAGATGGCCTTCCACTGGAATAAAGAAGGATGTCAGTGAACTTGTTTTGGATAATATAAGAGCAGGAACAGATTTTGGTACATACCAGCCTTTTCCTTCATCTGATGACGAACCCAAAGCACGTTTATCTCGGTGGGGTCACCGGCATGCGTATGGTCACTGGAATAAGAGGTTACACGAGTCCTGGCTTGATCAGTGACTTTTAGTTTTACAAACTCCTCTTCGCCGGCAGGCCCAATACGACATAGTTTCGTTAACCTTGTGGAGGTCTCAAATGGGTGCGAGGCGTCCGGATAGGAGGCCGACCGTGAAACCACCACCCCGCAGCGGATCAGAGTCACCGCTACGACGGGTTCGACTGTTGGCTGCACCCGCTAGCCGGGACTCACGAAGGGAGTACACGGACACACAGAATAAAGGGACACCCGGGGTTTATTTGTCCGGATAAATACAAAGATATAAAGACTAGTAACGGCAAGGGGGAGGTTGTCCTTACCTTGCCGCACTTTCCCGAGAGCCTGGACGGAGGTGGGGCAGCAGAGTACGTGGCCGCACGTCCGAACAGTTTCAAGTCCAGCAGAACAGTCCCTTCCCCGAGCGGCCAGAGGACACGCTCTCTCCTCTTTCTCTCCCTGGCGGCTCCAGCCTCGTCCCCGGAGGGGCGGGCGAGCTCGCCAAAGGGAAGTTCCCTACGTCCCCCCTAGCGGGAGGGACGCGGACGGAGGAGTGGCGAGAGTAGACAACCAAGATGGCTGCCTCTCCTTGCCACGGTAAGGTACGCTCCGGTCGGAAGCCAAGTGGCTTCCGACGTCGTGCCCGCGGCCAGAAGGCCGGATCAGGGAAAGGGAGCCAGAGGCTCCCACATTCCCCCCTCCTTAAAACTGTTAAAACCCCTTTAGGAAAGGAAAGGGTTGCCGGCTCTCATACCCCCAAAATGTACGAAACAAAAGCAAAAACACACACAAAAAAAATACATTCAAAAAGATAAACAATTGCCAACCCCGCCGTCCCTCAGAGTTCCCGTACGCCGCCTCCCGCCTAAAACAACATCAGTTCGTCACCCGACGGGAGGTCGGCGTACTCACCGCCGTCGTCGCAGCCGAAGTCCTCCCCG